CACTTTAAAGAGGTCTTTTGCAGCAGATTTGCTCAATGGAATATGTTTTGATTTCTTGACTGTTGCTTCTGTGAGCATTGATTGTGGATCCTAGTAAAATGAAATCCTTGACAACCTCAAGATGTTGCTTATTGGCCTAGTTGTGAGGATTTTTGTTTTCTTTATGTTGAGGTGTAATCCATACTAAAGGCTGTATGTAGTCTCTGATCTTCATCAGTAAGTGTTTCAAGTCTTCTTCACTTTCAGCTAGCAAAGTTATGTTATCAGCATATTGTAGGTTAGTAATGAATCTTCTTCCAATCCTGATGCTGCATTCTTCTTCATATAGTCCAGCTTCTTGGATTATTTGCTCAGCATACAGATTGAATAAATATGGTGAAAGGGTACAACCCTGACACATACATTTCCTGATTTTAAACCATGCAGTATCCCCTTGTTCTGTTTGAATGACTGCCTCTCAGTGTAAGAACAGGTTGCTTATGAGAACAATTACTGTTCTAGAATTTTAAACCATGCAGTATCCCCTTGTTCTGTTTGAACGACTGCCTCTCAGTATATGAACAGGTTCCTTATGAGAACAGTTACTGTTCTAGAATCCCCATTCTGTGCAGTATAATTTGTTATGATCCACACAGTCGAATGCTTTTGCATAGTCAATAAAAGACAGGTAGACATCTTTCTGGTATTATCTCCTTTAAGCCAAGATTTTTCTGACATCAGTGATATCCCTCGTTTCATGTCCTCTTCCAAATCCAGCTTGAATTTCTATCACTTCTCTGGCATTGTACTGCCGCAACCATTTTTGAGTTATCTTCAGCATTTTTATTTACTTGCATGTGATATTCTTTATTAGGATCTTGCATTTCAGGTGTTGCTCAGTTGCTCTTGACAAGCCAGCTAGTTTTTAGTGGCCAATTCCTACAGAGGCTGGACAGTGAAGCTACAGGCAGCAAAAACTTTTCCAGCTTGATTTGACAGTCAGGTAGAGTGGGCTGAATGAAGGGCTTCTGAAGGAGCAGCTTCTTGCATCTTTTCTTTGAATGCATTTTTGCTCTCTGTCATTTTCCAGGATACATCAGCTGCTATTGAAATCCAGGCAGACTTGTTTTTTTCGTAAGTTAGAAAAGGGCTTTGAAAGCATGGTAAGATGGTATCATTTCAGTCTCATGTGAGCTTTATGACTCTGGTGGGATGGGTCCCACTTTTTACTTCCCAGAAACACTGTCCTCCATGGCCAGAGGCTTTCAATGGCCAGTTGTACCTGACATTCCTGAGTGGGAGGAAAGGGCCGTCTTTGGACTCCTGGAATTTTTTCTTCATGAGAGAAACTGGTCCTTAGGCTCTCTTGCTCTGGGGGGTTGTAGTGCTGGCCCTTCTCCTCTGGCTTTGCTCTGTGGAAGGTGTGGCATGCCTGCTTCCTCTGCGCCTGACTTGAGGCTTTAGCATCTGCCTGTGTTTTTGTCCATGTTTTGGGATG